CTGAGTTTGAGAAATACGCAGATTCAAAGAGGAGTCCGTAATTTACTTTCTAATAATCATGATCTTTTCGCTGAAGAAGTTAATGATTTCATCACTGCTGAAGTGAAAGCCATCCTCTCTTGGAGAAATGCTGCTTTTTAGTTAACTCTGTGACAGTATCAAAAATACATTTAGGATACATTTTATTCTCCTCTATCAGGTTGGAAAGGTAGGCTGATCGAGCAGTAGTGAGGGCTCTTCGATATTGCACGGTACTGTCTTTCCAAGCTAGTTGGAAGACTTCCAGTTTGGTGGAGCGCCATTTCTGTTCCAATTTTCTGGAAGCTTCCTTCAGGGCTCTGGTATTTACTGGATACCGGGGAGCTAATTTCTTGTGACAAATGTTTTTTGTTTTTAGAGGTGAGACTGCATCTAGGGTATTACGCAAGGTTAAATTTAGATCGTCGGTTAGGTGGTTAACTGATTTTTGTACTCCGACTTCCTTGGGTATGTGGAGGGAGTCTGGAAGGGCATCTAGGAATCTTTGGGTTTGTTGAGAATTTATAGAGCAGATTTTCGATAATCCTTTGTTTGGGTCTGAATAGACTATTTGTTGCGATTGCAAACGTAATTGTAACATACGTGGAGGGAGTCAGGAAGCAGGTGCAGTTAGTGAGTTTAATAACAACAAATGATACAAAACAAGAGAAGCGTCTGACATGGAAATATAAACAATACTACCTGATGACTAGTAACAAAAGAGTGCTATATGAAGGGTAACTAATCAGGGAGTAAGGAAGTCCAGGTGTGACTGATGAGACGCAGGTGTGCGTTAATGGTGGTTGCCAGATGTGCGTGAAGATGGGTTGCCAGGGCCGGTGGTTAGTAGACCGGCGACGTCGAACGCCCGAGGGCGAGGAGCGGGCCGGTCCGAACGGCGAAGGTGGAAATCTCGGGTGATGTTGGGATCTAGAATGTCGTCCACTGGAACCCAACACTGCTCCTCTGGACCGTACCCCTCCCAGTCCACCAGGTACTGGAGCCGACCCCCACGACGTCGGGAGTGCAGGAGGGATCTGACGGCATTGGCGGGGCTTCCCTCGATGCTAAGGGGAGGTGGAGGGGTGTCGTGGGGGACGGCATTAGCCAGGGGACCAGGAACCACCGGCCTGAGGAGGGAAATGTGAAAATAGGTTGAGATCCGGTAGTTATCTGTAATGTAATCTGTATGTTACCTCGTTGACCCTCCGGGGACCTTGAATGGCCCCACACACCGGGGACTCAGCTTCTTACAGGGCAGGCGGAGTGGGAGGTTCCTGGTGGAGAGCCAGACGCGATCACCAGGATGGAACATGGGCGGTTCACTGCGGTGGCGATCCGCCTGCTCCTTCTGACGGTGGACGGCACGCTGAAGCCTCATCTGAGCATTGTTCCACACCTCTTCTGCATGCCTGAACCACTCGTCCACAGCAGGAGCTTCGGTCTGGCTCAGAGCCCATGGGGCCAGGGCTGGCTGGTAACCCAGAACACACTGGAAAGGAGTCAGCCCGGTGGAGGAAAGGCGCAACGAATTCTGAGCGTACTCCGCCCAAGGAATGAGTCGAACCCACTCCCACTGCCTGTTCTGGCAGCGACTCCTCAGGAACCTCCCCAGCTCCTGTTTCATCCTCTCCATCTGCCCGTTAGACTGAGGCCGGTACCCGGAAGTGAGGCTGACCGTGACCCCCAGCTTCTCCATGAAGCCTTTCCATATCCGTGACGTGAATTGGGGGCCACGGTTGGAGACGATATCCTCCGGAAGGCCATAGTGCTGGAAGACCTGCTGGAGCCCAGAAAGAGGGATGAAACGGCATGATTTAGAGAATCTGTCCACTATCACCAAAATGGTGGTAAAACCATCAGAAGAGGGGAGATCATTGACAAAGTCAATGGACAGATGAGACCATGGACGCTGAGGCACGGGAAGGGGTTTTCCTGCTGGAGCGTTGCCGGGGGGATTTGGATTGAGTACAAACCCAACATGAATTGACATAGTGGGCTACATCCTGCGCCAAAGTGGGCCACCAGTATTTATCAGAAAGAGATTGAATAGTGCAGGTGATATCTGGGTGTCCAGCCGCGAGGGATGTGTGTGCCCAGGTCAACAGTCGATCTCTCACCCCCTGTGGGAACGTAGATGTGCTCTGGAGGGCAGGTGGCAGGAGTGGGTTCCCGGTCCAGAGCCTGGCGGATGTCCATATCTACGTCCCAACACACGGGGCCAACGATACGGCAGGACCGATTGATGGGCTGGTGGAACACTCACAGGGCCCTCAACCGGCGTGGAACCACAGGGTACAGGAAAGCAGGTCCTTCCGACATCCTGGTTCCTAGGCGGTGATTTTCATACTTGAGCATGTGATGGGTGGGATTGTGACGTTGGAGCCACGGGAGGTTGAGGATTACCTTGTGTACAGATGCGGATGTGATGTAGGGAAGGATTTCCTGGTGCATGGCGTCCCACGGTGAGGGTGAGTGGTGCGGTGATGTGCGTCACTGTGCCGGATCCCAATGGTCGTGGATCCAAAAGCTTGGATAGGAAAAGGAGAGGAGAGCGGGTATGAGGTTAAGTTCATGGAGGAGGCGAGGGCCTGGTCGATGAAGTACCCAGCAGCACCAGAGTCCACTAGAGCTGTAGCCAGTGAAATTGGCACCGTAAAAGGTTAGATTGTCATCTCGGCACGCCAACTCCGCCTGGAACTCTTCACGCAATCCTCTTCTGAATAGGGTGCAGAGCACCGGCTCATTCCATCCGTTGGATGCTACTACTGTCCGGAAGGTGAGCGCGTAGTCCTCCGTGGTCTGGCCATCCTGCCGTAGTCGGAGAAGGCGCTCTCTGCCCTCCGGTGGATGGTTGAAGACCCCCCTGAACAGAGCCATGAACCCCTCATAGGAACCCAGCTCCTCCTCTCCTCTCGCCCAGATGGCCGTAGCCCACTCCAACGCCCGTCCGGTCCAGATGGCTGTAGCCCACTCCAACGCCCGTCCGGTCCAGATGGCCGTAGCCCACTCCAACGCCCGTCCGGTCCAGATGGCTGTAGCCCACTCCAACGCCCGTCCGGTCCAGATGGCCGTAGCCCACTCCAACGCCCATCCGGTCCAGATGGCCGTAGCCCACTCCAACGCCCGTCCGGTCCAGATGGCCGTAGCCCACTCCAACGCCCATCCGGTCAGCAGGGACGTGCGTACTGTGTGGTCCGGAAGTTGTGCTCAATAGATCTTTAGACAGGACATTGGATGCAATGCAATCACTGCTTAACTTAACCCCCCCAATGGTATCTGGCTGGTTGTAAGCAGGGTAGATCTAGCTACATCCAGGGTGATCCAGGTTGTTTTGTGTCCTTAGTGCTCTGTGATGTAATGAATAGTAGAGTAATGACAGATAAAACACATGGTCTGTGTCTCAAATGGCATCATATTCCCCTTATAGGGCACTTATTTTGACCAAAGCCCTATTGGGGGGGGGACCCTATGATAGTGCACTATAAAGGGAATAGGGTGCCATTTGGGAATCATTCATTGTGGTGAACAGTACAGTAATGACATTGGTAACATATGGTGGTGGTGAGTCTTGGAGATAGGCATTTGATTGGTTTGGACTTACAAAGGCAGCTTAATGAGAAAGATCACAGATCAATCTGTCCACAGATCAACTAGTCTCAGAGGACGTTCCAAGGACAACAGGACACAGCAGCGTATTTGTAAGAGAAGAGAGAAGAGCAATAATACTGAATATTACTGAGTGATATGCCATACTGTATCCTACCATGTGGAGATACCCTAACCCTGATATGCCATACTGTATCCTACCATGTGGAGATACCCTAACCCTGATATGCCATACTGTATCCTACCATTGGAGATACCCTAACCCTGATATGCCATACTGTATCCTACCATGTGGAGATACCCTAACCCTGATATGCCATACTGTATCCTACCATGTGGAGATACCCTAACCCTGATATGCCATACTGTATCCTACCATGTGGAGATACCTAACCCTGATATGCCATACTGTATCCACCATGTGGAGATACCCTAACCCTGATATGCCATACTGTATCCACCATGTGAGATACCCTAACCCTGTAGCCATACTGACCTACCAGGGGATCCAGTAGTGCCGTGATGTAATGAGATGGTGTACGTATGACAGATGTCTACTCTAATACATGGTCTGCTTGTTCAAATGGACTCAATAATTCACCCTTATAGGCATATTTTGACCAAAGCCTATTGGGGGGCGGACCCTATGATAGTGCACTATGTAACAGGGAATGGGTTGACCATTGGAATCATTATGGTGGTTGAACAGTAACTTAGGATGGACACTTGGTAAATTAGGTGGTGTGTATCTGGAGATTAGCATGATTGGTTCTGGACTACAACATGAACTTATGAGAGAGATCACCGTAATTAATCTGTCCACGAATCAACTGTCTCCTAGAGGATGTTCAGGGACAACATGGAACAGCAGCGTGATTTCTGTAAGAGAGAGAGAGGACCATTAATATGAATGATTTACCTGAGTTGATGTTGCCACTCTGTACCCTACCATGTGGAGATACCCTAACCCTGATTGCTACTAGTACCCTACCATGTGGATGTACCTCTAATACTGGATTGCCTACTCGTAACCTACCATGGTGGAGACTCCTAGAGTGGTCTGTAACTTAGAGTGGTTCTGTACCTCTGTAACTTAGAGTGGTTCTGTACCTCTGTAACTTAGAGAGTGGTTCTGTACCTATGTAACTTAGAGAGTGGTTCTGTACCTCTGTAACTTAGAGTGGTTCTGTACCTCTGTAACTTAGAGTTAAAAAGCAGGAATGAATTTGTAGTGCTCTTTCTTTCTTTCTTTCTTTCTTTCTTTCTTTCTTTCTTTCTTTCTTTCTTTCTTTCTTTCTTTCTTTCTTTCTTTCTTTCTTTCTTTCTTTCTTTCTTTCTTTCTTTCTTTCTTTCTTTCTGCCTATCCTTCCCAGGCGACGTGGAACGGTTTGACAGGACAGATCATTATAAACAAGACAGACGGTTTGAGGAAAGACTTTGACCTGGACGTTATCAGTCTGAAGGAAGACGGCTTGGAGAAGGTGAGATGCAGTACCATGATATACTACACACACACACACACACACACACACACACACACACACACACACACACACACACACACACACACACACACACACACACACACACACACACACACACACACACAAAAACATAGTTAGCTACAGTTCATGTGACCAAAGCCCTTTGTATATTTATAAGAGGAAGGTAACCACCACAAAGTGTGCATTGTAAATACCAATTGCTGCAGGTACCTGAAAATGTTCTTTAAATGCTCTCTGCTTTCTACCCTTCTTTCTTTACAAGACGATCGGGGGCAATAGCCGCCTCAATAAAGTGTGGAAAAAGGTTTGTAGAGCGGTTGACCCTGTGGTCTGACCCTGTGGTCTGACCCTGTGGTCTGACCCTATGGTTGACCCTGTGGTCTGACCCTGTGGTCTGACCCTGTGGTGACCCTCTGGTTGACCCTGTGGTTGACCCTGTGGTCTGACCCTGTGGTTGACCCTATGGCTGACCCTGTGGTTGACCCTGTGGTTGACCCTGTGGTTGACCCTGTGGTTGACCCTCTGGTTGACCCTGTGGTTGACTCCCTGACCTCCATGTCTGACCTTCGTAGTGTTATAGTGTTGTCCCTCTCCTCAGCAGGTCCTCTCTCCTTTCCCAACTATTAGATCCGTTTCTGTCCTTCCCTTTATTTACACTCCTACAGTCCACATCTGAGTTGTCCTGCCCACTCCTACAGTCCTTATCTGAGTTGTCCTGCCCACTCCTACAGTCCACATCTGAGTTGTCCTGCCCACTCCTACTGTCCTTATCTGAGTTGTCCTGCCCACTCCTACAGTCCTTATCTGAGTTGTCCTACCCACTCCTACAGTCCTTATCTGAGTTGTCCTACCCACTCCTACAGTCCTCATCTGAGTTGTCCTGCCCACTCCTACAGTCCTCATCTGAGTTGTCCTACCCACTCCTACAGTCCTCATCTGAGTTGTCCTGCCCACTCCTACAGTCCTCATCTGAGTTGTCCTACCCACTCCTACAGTCCTTATCTGAGTTGTCCTGCCCACTCCTACAGTCCTCATCTGAGTTGTCCTGCCCACTCCTACAGTCCTTATCTGAGTTGTCCTGCCCACTCCTACAGCCCTTATCTGAGTTGTCCTGCCCACTCCTACAGCCCTTATCTGAGTTGTCCTGCCCACTCCTACAGTCCTCATCTGAGTTGTCCTGCCCACTCCTACAGTCCTTATCTGAGTTGTCCTGCCCACTCCTACAGTCCTCATCTGAGTTGTCCTGCCCACTCCTACAGCCCTTATCTGAGTTGTCCTGCCCACTCCTACAGTTCCTCATCTGAGGTTGTCCTGCCCACTCCTACAGTCCTCATCTGAGTTGTCCTGCCCACTCCTACAGTCCTCATCTGAGTTGTCCTGCCCACTCCTACAGTCCTTATCTGAGTTGTCCTGCCCACTCCTACAGTCCTTATCTGAGTTGTCCTGCCCACTCCTACAGTCCTTATCTGAGTTGTCCTACCCACTCCTACAGTCCTTATCTGATCTCTGAAGTCCAGATGTACAGTATTGGATAAGCACCCCATTGACACTGGGAGCTTGTCATCTTTGATGTTAAGACACATAGATTGCTAAATTGATTAACATTTGATCTCAGGGTAAGATCTTGATCTTCTTAGTAAGAAGATGTGATGGTATAAAACATTTGACATTTGATCTAAGTTTACTGAGAAGACAGTGATGGTTAGAAGACAGTGATGGTTAGAAGACAGTGATGGCTAGAAGATGGTGATGGTTAGAATATAGTGATGATTAAAAGATAGTGATTGTTAGCAAATAGTGATGGTTAGAAGACAGTGATGGTTAGAAGACAGTGATGGTTAGAAGACAGTGATGGTTAGAAGACAGTGATGGTTAGAAGACAGAGATGGTTAGAAGATAGTGATGGTTAGAAGACAGTGATGGTTAGAAGATAGTGATGGTTAGAAGACAGTGATGGTTAGAAGATAGTGATGGTCAGAAGACAGTGATGGTTAGAAGATGGTGATGGTTAGAATATAGTGATGATTAGAAGATAGTGATTGTTAGCAAATATTGATGGTTAGAAGATAGTGATGATTAGAAGATAGTGATGATTAGAAGATTGTGATGGTTAGAAGATAGTGATGATTAGAAGATAGTGATGGTTAGAAGATAGTGATGGTTAGAATATAATGTTGTGGTGATTTACTCCTCTTCAGATTGGATTGTGGAACTCCAACAACGGCCTTAACCTTACCGAAAGTCTGAAGGATACGGGGACTAACATCACAGATTCTATGGCCAACAGGACTCTGGTCGTCACTACCATCCTGGTAAGTCAAGTCCAGTCAAATCAAGTCAAAGTTTGCACATTTAACAGGGGTCACAA